GTGGGGTTGTTGTGACCGAAGTGCAGGACCCGGCACTTGGCCTTGTTGAACCTCATACAGTTGGCCACGGCCCATCGATCCAGCCTGTCCAGGTCCCTCTGCAGGGCCATCCTACCCTCGAGCAGATCGACACTCCCACCCAGTTTAGTGTCATCTGCAAACTTCCTGAGGGTGCACTCAGTCCCCTCATCCAGATCGTTGATAAAGATAAGACTGGCCCCAAAACAGAGCCCTGGGGAATACCGCTTGTGACCAGTCTCCAACTGGTTTTAACTCCATTCTCCACAACTCTCTGGGCTCAAATATTTACATCATATATATGTAAAATGAAAGTGCCATTTTCTCCTGTCATCTTCAACACTTTGTTCAAAAGATACGTTCACCTTCTGTATGGTACTGGCTTTTGCAGGTTATATATTGCGTTAAGTACTTCCAGTATCTAAATAGAAGAGGTTATGAAAGAAGGAAATACTTCTTTGTGTCAAACTGGCAGTGACCGTAACACAGGCAGAGTGTTCAGAACTTTGAGCCCAAATTGGAAGCCTTGTCATGTTTTTTGTAGCAGGGTAAATGCAATAATTAATTTTGCAATTCATGAAAATCGGCATCTTTATACTACTGTGTTATTTTGAAACAGGGAAAATACTTGATGAACTGTCCCTGGATTGTGTCAGTCCAGAAGACTGTCCTGTGTGTGCAGTTGGAGATGACAAGATCCCGCATGGAGGGAAAATAGTTTTGAACAGAGATGATCCACAACACTGTCAATCTTGGTATGATGGGCTTATGCAGTGAAATTGCATGCCTCTTGAGAAAGATGAAGGGACAGAGATGAAGCACATCTGCATGAATAAGTTTTTGGACATAACCTTAAACATACCACTGAAGATGAAGCTTGGAAACTATCTTTTATGTCAATATCCCTTCACATACAATCTGAAGCTGAAGTTTTTCAGTGACGGTAGGGATTATAGGATGTCAGCTGAATTTAAGCAAGTGAAATTCATAAATTCCTTTCCAAAAAAGCTTTTTCCCATGTGTAGGTGGTCTCACTGGCTTCAGATGTTCCACTTCTTTTTGTGTAAGGTGTGATTCAACATCAGTAAAGCCATCAGACTCTTTCCTTCTGCTAGTACTTAAAAAATCCTATGTGTAGTGCAAGATCGAATGTGCACTCAGTCTAGAACTTGCTGAGATTATTAGCAGTTGGAATTGTGTACTATTATTGGAAAACCAATTTCCCCAAGATTTTAAGATGATATCCCATGGCCTGACCCTGCATGCATGCATTTCCAAATATGATGAAATTTATGGCAGGGTGCGCAATGCTGTGCACCATGCAGGATCAGGGTCTTCATCTGCAATGTGGCAGAAACTGATTTTCATTCTGTGTACTGCCCAGTGGCATGTTACATCACGGTCTGTAGTACCTGAAAGTTTGGCATTCTCCAGATGTTTAGACCCTTGATGGATACTTTCACTAGTCGCTGACAACGCTGTGAATACAAGAGAGTTTTCCATCTTGTAATTTGACCATATTTAATAGAAACTAAGTTGTAAAACTACAGCAGCTATTAGCTAAAAATACAGCAGCTATTAGCCCAGACTAACACCTTAGCTCCAAATGCTCTGAACCTCACAGAAGCTCTGAACGGGTATGAACTTTCAATTCCTGGCCTCTTGCTGGGACTAGCATATGTCTGTGCTATAAACCCAGGGCATGAGACTGTTAGGCTAATCAATTAAATTTTTTTTTTTTTGACAGTATACATGAAGAGCCTTGAATTCCATCAAAAGGTCAAAAAAGAGTCTTCATAGATGAGTCTCTGTTCCCTAATTTTTGTAATCCTTAATAATAATTTATCTTAAATGTTGATACACTGGCCACTGCTCACAAAAGATTTCAGAACATTAGGAAAACTTACCTCACTAGGGAAACATCCTTTTGCATAGCTGTCACCTAATTTAGATGCCTACACCATCTGTACAAACAATAGAAAATATTGCACGAAAATGAATTTTATAGCAAATATCCAAAGGAAATTGGAAACTAGAAGAGGCTTGCTCGTATTAGGATTAAAATAATAAATCTTCTGTTGCTATATGTTAATGCCAAAAGTAGCTGTGGATTCTTCAATTAGGAAGACACCAAAAGCAGCTTGAAAAGAACATAGTGCCTAAACTAAGAGAACTTAAATGAAGGTGCCATGTGTAAAGTGAATTCTTTTCCCAGAAAATGACACCTTCTTCCAGTATTAACTTGGTTAGTTTGTACATCCTGGGTTTTCTCTGGCAGTGAAAATAAGCATTTTTTTGGTCCTTGCTCTTTCATAAACTTTTCCTATTCTGTTTCTTGGACTATCCAGTAAGACAAGGAAAATATATTGGCTGAGTCTGTACCACCCTGTGCATGAGTACGGTCATGTTCTTTGCTCTGATAAGTGAAGTAAAGAGAATCATGCAACCAGGAATTAGAAGGGCAGAAGTATTAAAGCCTTGCTAAAGATGGAAAGAGATGAATTATAAACAAGCTCCTAAAAGGTGGAGGGTGACAGAGGTGAAAAATCTCATGGTGGTACAGAAGGATGAATAGTAAAAAACGCAGAGATGGGGGAAAAATAAAAATGGGAGCTGAGATGGAAAGGGGAAGAGAAAAATGTACTAATGGAGGTGAGTGGATATGTTGAGGGAAGACAAACAGGACTAAAAAGAGATAACAGCTATAGCTGAAATACATCATTTGATATGAGAAAAGGGACTGAAACAGAGAACATGGTAAATAAGAGGAAGATAACAAAGGAGACATAAAAAAATGGAGGACAAACATGTGCCAAAGCTGTATTCCAACCAAATTAAGTCAGGAAAAAGAAAAGGAAAGTAATACAGTTTAGAAGTAGAAAAAAAAGGCTGTTTGTTATTTTCACTGAGGTTAAAACTTAGGTAAACCTAGCCTTCTCGCAGAGTCTGCTAAGTCATATCAGAGCTGAAAGCATCTTTCCTGCTTTACTTTGTGTTAGCTGCCTCCAGTTTGCCTCATGTTTGTCATCTTTGTGAAGCAAACCAGATCTGCCAGTTCAGTCCACCAGTGGCTTGTAGGTAGCTGTATTGCTTAAGCGCAGTGGGTTTCTAGACAGTTTCCAGACACAGATTTTACACATTCTGCCAAAGGCTGTTATAAAGAGAGTTTTCTCTGACAAACACATCATAGTTTGTCATACATTTCCTGGATCTAAACAAATGTGCATGAACATACAGGATTTAGCTGTACGAAACCTTGTGGGGAGTTGTGGGGGAATGGGGTGGAGAAAAAATTGCTTGCATCATGTTTTGGTTTTGTTGTGTTTTTGAGATAGTTAACTGTTTCTGTATGGACATTCTTTTTTTAGAGGTGGGTGATGTGTTATTATAAGCGTTGATGTTTTGCAATTAAATTTGGTGATTTTTGTAGTGTGTGTGAAGGGAAGAACTTAACCTGTGTAGCCTGTGAACTAGCGGAGGACACCCTAACACCAACACCTGTTCCAGAGGAGGACATTGAACTACCAGCCACTGAATACTCATGCAGCAAGATGATGGACTTGGCCTTCCTAATGGATGGCTCCAATAAACTGTCAGAGGAGGACTTTGAACAGCTGAAGACTTTCATAACTGGCATGATGAGGAAACTCCACATCTCCCAAAAGAAAATCCGAGTGTCAATTCTGGTGTATAGGGCTGGCCCCACAATCTATCTTGGCCTTAAAGATATCAAAACACAGTCCCAGATGAGAAAAATTGTCCAAAGCATAAAATACACAGGTGATGAAGTAGCGTCTGCCGCTGAAGTCCTTAAATATACTGTGTTTCACGTTTTTGGAAAAGCAGAAAGGACCAATGCTGCCAGAATTGCGGTGCTATTTATAGCAAGCAAGTCTCCAGGAAAACTCCGCAGCATCCTCACAGCTTTGAAGAATAAAAAAATTGCCGTAATACCTGTGGGGATTGGACCGTATGTCAGTGTGGAGCAAATCAGGTTCATTGAAAAGCAGTCACCAGATAATAAAGCCTTCCTAATGAACAATGTGTTAGAGCTAATGGATAATAGGGATCTCCTGATTGATCGTCTATGTGATCTTGGACCTGAAGAAAATTCTTTGCTCCAAGCTATGTCCACTCCAAAAACATCCAGTGTCTTATTTCCCCCTTGGGGTGTCACAACACTACCACCCATTTCAGAAAAACCCACCCGCAAAAGGCTGGACATTGCTTTTATTGTGGAAGGATCTGACAATGTAGGGGAGGAAAATTTCAATATCATCAAGAAGTTCCTTGAGAAGGTGATCACAAGAATGCATATAGGACAGGAAGATATTCATATTACAGTCATGCAGTATTCAGAGACTGTTACTCTGGAGTATTCCTTTACGGAAATACAGTCAAAGGAAAGTATTATTGAGAAGGTGAGGAACATAACCTACCGAGGAGGGAAGGCTACCAACACTGGGAATGCCCTCGATTATATTTCCAAACACACATTTACACCAGTGAATGGGGGCAGGCAAGATGTTCCTCACTTGGTATATATGGTGTCATCCAGCCCTTCCACTGATGTTATCACACGACCTCCCAGGAGCATAAATGTTATTCCCATAGGCATAACCCCCAATGCAAATATCCAAGAGCTCAGAAAGATCAGTGAGCCTAATAACCCGATAATCTTGCATAGTTATAGCACACTTATTGAAGAAGCACCTGAATTAGTGCTGCAGTCATGCTGTTCTCATAAACTTCCGACAGAAATTCCAGGTAAAGTTGGACTTATTTTCCATGTAATTTCCTCTTTCCTCTCTCCTGTCTCCTCCATTTCCCCCTCACATCACTGAAATTTGAAGAGGGTTCCCGTCTATCTCATTTGGTATCTTGTCCAAAATGCTAAGGAAGGACCATTTATCTTCACTGGCATCTGAGGATGCTGCCCCAGTTCAGCAGTACCGAGCAGAACCCTGCAGCCAACTTTCAGTAGGCTCAGAAGTCCTTGGCTGCTTTTGTCAGTAAAGGATAATAGCTCCCAGATAGCATGGAGGGTGGCAGATGGAAAAAAATTCTCATCTGCCTGCCTCAAGCAAGTTAAAATTATACTTCCTCTTCCCTGAAGAGGCTTCGTTAGTTTTGTGGTTTTATTTTTGGCTTTTTGGGGGGGTGTTATTTTTTTGTTTGTTTGTTGTTGGATTTTTTGTTGTTGCTTTGTTTTTGTTGGATTTTTGTTTGTTTGTTTGCTGTTGTTTTAGTCTCCTGCGGGTAAAATAGCATTTACAGAAAAGCAGGAATTGAAATACCCTTGTACCCCACTGAATATAAATCTCAAGGCTTTCATTAAATGGGCATCATTTATTATTTCAACTGGTTTGTTTCCCCAAAATGCAGGTATCTCTGCCCTTTCTGCTCCTCCCAATGATTAGCAGATGCTACTTCTGGGTATTATGTATAAATAACCTTGGTTTTTTCCTTTTTTTTTTCCTTCCCCTTCCCCCTCAGAGTTGTGCAACAAACCAATGGATATCATGTTTCTTCTGGATGGAAGTTCCAATATTGGAGCATCAGAGTTTGAGGAAATGAAAAACTTTGTACGGGCCTTTATTGAAAGTGTTGAGATCAGTACGTATCTGTCTTTCAACTCAAATGCATGAAGAGTGTTTGTATTCTTCTGCTATACAAGACAAAGCAACTTCTCAGTATAGGTTATTTTTGTTTTTATTTTTTTAAATTACCCATTCCAGTCCCTCAAAAATTTTTAAGTTCGTATTGGGCAAATCAAGCTAGTAAAGCTTTTGGTTCAGATGCCATTCAGTTTCCTCCTGAACCAGGCTGTTCTGATTCAGGTTAATAACGGTGTGACATCCAATTCAAGGAACCGTATGATGAGGAATATCTAGGATAGCAGCTCTGATGAGCATTTCCCTTGATACTGTACTGGACATAAGTGTGTGTGCCAAACAGGCAAAGAGGTCCCTGTCACAGGATGGAGATTTACCTGAACCGTTATTCTGTGGCAAAAAAAACAAAAATACACATTTGGTTTTGGTTCAGTTCTGGATTAGGTGCAACAGACTTGAAAATAATAGTTCAAGTTCAGTTCTGGTTCAAGCTAGAATGGATAATTCAGAGGGTTTTGGTTCAGGTTTGGTCCGACTGCAAGGTTTTGGTCTTTGGAATGGGCATTTCTGGCTCTGACTGGCTTTTTTGGCTAACTTAGCGTGCTAGAACTGACTTTTTATTTCCTGGCCCATGTTGGATGATAGACACTTTTTGGGAGTGCTAGACTCACTGAGCTTGCAGAATATGTACTGATGGGAGGTACATCTCTAGTTAGGTCATTCAGCACAGATATTACCAGTGCAGCTGCCCTGGCAAAATGCCACATATCCTGCACATACATGTGGCACAAGTAATAATTAGGACATTGTGTGCCCTTGTACCAAGTCCATCCACATGGCAGGGTCTGCACAGGATCCTGCATTTTCCTAGTAGCACTTCTTTTAACAAACCTGGATTTTTGATTGGAATTGTACTTTTTCAATTCAGCATTCTACCATCTCCATGGAGCAACTGCCGTTGCTGCTGGTGTTTTGCCACTGGGCATTGACGTGTTTGTAGTATTGTATTATACCTGTGCTTCCAAAAGAGGTGATTACCAGCACTTGTACTAATTAGAGAGCTCATAGAGGAAAAGTACAGCATTTCTGTATGCCTAGAATAACTTAGATTTCTTTTTTTTAGAGATTGTACATAGAAGACACTCTGTTTCAGAAAATTGTGTACATGCAAGATACAGAGAAGCAAGCCAAATGAAATAAACACAAACTAAATAAAACAACAGGCAATTTCATAGAATCATAGAATGCTTTGGGTTGGAAGGGACCTTGAGAGATTATCAAGCCCAACCCCCCTGCAGTAAGCAGGGATTGAACCTGTGAACTTGGTGTTACTAGCACCATATTCTAACCAACTGAGCTAACCTGGCTGGTCATTCTTTTAGCCTAGCTGTTTTCCTTACTTTTGAAGCCTGTAACAGGAAATGTTACATGATTAACAACAGGACAATAATAATGTAGCTATGAAATGACTCCTCACTACAGCCTTGATTTTAAAATCTTTAAGACTGTGGACAAATTGTAAAGCGTAGTGAGTAGACAATATTCAGATCAATATAGGGCTGCAACATTTGGATACATGAAATTACAGTTATTATTAACTTCATTCATAAATGTTTTACAAAGCATTGAAAAAGAATAATATGTTACATACGTAAGTATCTTCAGTATACAGTAGAAGTCCTTCTAAGACCATGAAGACAGGTACAGACGATCATTATAAACAACGTATTGTACAGTTCGATTCTGCAATTCTGATATTTATTAACTTTTTATATCAACCCTCTGTTACTAGTTTTGTTCATACTTCTTACATAATGTATAACATAACTAGGATGTCAGAATAGCAAAACTTGGAATTCTTCTTCATTACACTGTGGAGGTCATGCTCCCCAGGTGTACTATTGTCTTATGCTGCAGCCATGATGCATGCCACTCAAGTATTGCATGACAGAGGGAAATTTGCATGAAATGTAGTCACTGGGGGGAGCCTGATTGATCAGACAGACGGGGCAGCAAACTACCGCCTTTGCAAAACTATGTGCATATAAAAAAAAAATCATGTTTAGACAATTTTAAAATGGAAAAGCAATAACATTTGGAGATCAGTAAACTGAAATACTCCAATCAGGGTCAAACTGATCTGAGGTAAAATACTACTTGCTGATTCCTGACAGAAAAGCAACTGTTTCCATCCATACTTGCATGTTTTTTCCCCTGGGAATAGTTCAGTTTTGATCTTCTGATTGAAAATACAGCTTTCACACTCTGATGGAAAATCGCTGTCTAGCTGTGCTTAATGTAAAAGACAACCGTAATGTGTCCTTTAGATTTATTTTAAGACATCCATATGCACTGTTTAAAATGTTTGTTTTCTGCTTTCTGCTTCAGGCAATACTTCAATTCATGTGTCAGTTCTCCAGTATGCCAGGGAAAATAATCTAGAAATTTCATGGAACGTGCCTCAAGAGACTGAAAAGCTTGTAGAGATGGTGCACTCAATTCAACAAAGGGAGCAAGGTCCTACCAGACTGGGTGAGTGATTATGTGGATGTTGATGTTTAAACAAGAGGAAAAAACTCAGAAATTCTAAATATAGCCTGGCCCCAATCACCAATTCGTGCCAGTGCTATTGTGGCAGTGTTCTGCAGTAAGACTCTCAGGTTTTTTAGTTTGCTCATGTCTTTACTATATGTACATTCCTTGGTAAAGGTTTGATTTTCTCTATTAAAATGTATCTGTAGGTTACCTGAATTTGGGTTTATCTTAATGTGTTTTGGAAAGAAGACCATCAGTTTCTTTTTAGCCTTGAATTAATTCTCAGGATTTGCATTCATTATCTTTCAAGCAAGCAAAACATAATTAAGAAGTAAAAACTTTGATCATTAACCTTTCAGCATCAATTAGTTGATTAGGCATTTAGCAGCAGAACTGCTTATGCTGACTTCAATAACTGCCCTTGCCAGATGTTTGTTACTCTGTGCTGAGCCAGTGTAACCGACCTGGTTGAAAAATAACTTAGCCGAACAGTAGTTATATTCTGGGTGGTTCAGTTCCCTCATCCAAGTTGCCATGCTGGTCCCACAAGGACTTGGGCTGGCACAAGGCTGGGAAGGGTGCCAGGGAGCAATGATCACCTAAGGCAGCACCTTAGACAGAAGAGTTACTTGTGAAACATTATCTTCTGTTCCAGACAACTGCATCCTGAAAAACATGTCCACTTCAATTTTCATGTGCTAAAACATAACACAGATTTCCCACTGCGTCTGTGGAAATTCAGTACACACACATGTATCGGTTGTAGGGTTCAGCAAAAAATGATTCTCCTACAGCATATCTGATCTTTCAGCAGATACCCTGGGAATTTTGTTTTTCTGGACTGGAACCACATTTACTCTGGCAGCCACTTAGCATTAGGGTCCTATAAGAGTTGAGGAGTACACAGATTTTTAGGGTCTTTGGCCTACTTCAGACTGTAAAGAGTTATTGGTACAGAAAAGTGAGAAATAAAACCTGACTTCCATAGTTCGCAGGAGGATTAGCCATGATTGCTTTCTCAGCCTGGAGAAATAAAAATACCAGATGGCTGATGAGACTTCTATAGGCTCGTTGTGGGATAAATTGCTATATACAAATAGATAAGTTTCATGAAGCCTTCCATGTAATGTGTATAGTAAGCCACACTCAACTACAGGATAAACAGAGAAAACATGGCCTTTGGGAAATGAAAGAGGAGAGGCAGCCACATGACATACTCGTTAGTGATTTGTTTATGTCTCATTGGAAAATGCTCAGAGACCACGATGAGGGATGTGGTATAATGAACCAAAATGGAATAGAGTAGAAGTAGTTCCTCCCAAATGAAGTAATGAAAATAAGTCACTGTGGTCCCGTCCTGCACCTTGTAATGTGTATGAATTCGGCTGACTGTGTAGGAGACTCAGCATCCACGGGAAATGCATGGTCATTCATGTTATTCTGTCTGTGCTTGGGCCTCTGGAAATGCAGAGGCTGCTTAAAAGGTGTAGATGGCTCAGTTGGGAAGTTGCAGTTCCCTAGGTAGGTTTGGAAATCTTTGCTAGCCTATGGAGGGCTTGATCAGGATTTACCTATCAAAAATATCATTACCATCAGATCAGCACTGTTTCTTCTCATTTGCGCTGACTTCCCTATGGTAAAACATGATCCTCTGTAATCATTATTCAATCTTGGCAGATCCAAATCCTCCATCAAAAAAGCTGTACGTGCAGAGAGCAACGGTACGCTCTGTTGCCATTGCTGGCAAAGTCTTACTGCATAAAGCTTTCCTTTTTCTGTTTCATTTAATGATAAGGAAACTCCAGGAGAGAGATACATTTTATTAGTAAGAAATAATTAAAACCTACAGAATATTTGAGGGCATAGGCAGCACAGAAAAGAGCAACCTGTACCACAAAGCTTTCCCATGCTTATGCAATAAGATAACATAATGCAAATTTTGGCTCAAGTAACCTATTGAGAAGCAGCTCTGGGGATATTTGGACATAATGAAATTGTGTACAACTTCACCTAAGAAATAACTGAAAAAAGAAAGCTTACAGTAAGCAAGAGCTAACTGTATAAGCCTTCATTCAGCTAAAAGTGTGATCTGTGCGAGAGAACTGAGAATCACATAAACATGCCTCAGCTTTCATGAGTATTTAGGAGTGTCATAGGGAGGACAGTGATCAGTCCCTACAGTAAATACTGCTTAACACTTTATAAAACCATGATTTTGCTTGCTTCTGCCTTTCCTAAAAGTAGCTCATTTAGGCTGATGTTTTCCATGCCTACTGCCTTCCTCAGACTCAAAACTGGAGGAAGTGTGACCTATGTGGCTCAGTTGTATTAAAAGCATTGTTAGGGAAAGAAATGTATGGTTCCCCCCCTGTCCCCTCCCCCACACTTTAGGAAAAAAACCTTAAATATTGTTACTGAAACTTTCTATAGTTATTAATATGTTTGAATAGCAACATTCAGCTTTGCTGATTAAGAAGCTATAAAAGTTTCTTTCTACCCGCCCCCTGTGGTTTAGGAAGCAAAGGCCCACCATAGCACTTTTCTTTATTCAGATCCCTGCCCTGAGTGACGCGGTCTATGCAAAATTTTCAAAACCTGTCCCCCGCCATCACCCACCCAAGGCCATGGTTTTGCCAGCAGCTGCCCTTATCTAAGGGCTCCCATCCACTGAAAGACAAACGTCTTCCTCACTTGCTCCCCCACTACTGTTTCCGATTTGGTGGTCAGCTCCTTTCTTAAGCCAGCTTTGGGTGCCTACTAGTCTCTTCCCTGAGCTATTTTAATTCACTGTCCTGGCAGGTTTTTTTGTTTACATGCTTGGGTTTTTAGTTCATTTCCTATAAGGTTTGTGAGCCCGGGGTTATCAGAACCTCTTGGTGGTAAGAGAAATGCAGGATTTCCGACCTGCAGAGCCTGGAAAGCAGAGGAGAGGTTTTGGGGCTTCATAGCCTCCTCCCTTCCGTGCTGATGGGCTGTTGGACTGATGAATCTGTGCTGTTCATGAGGAGACCAACCATTCTATTAATTGGCATGCATTAATGCCAGAATGTCAATGTGCTAAGAATTGACTATTTAAAGCATCGATCTGTGGGATAAGTTTGCCGTAGCTATTTTGTTTCAAAATTAGAATAATCTACTAGTTTCAGTTAAAAAGAAACACAATTCCATGTCTAGTCAAGATCCTAAATTAAGATATAAATACCAGCTTCAGGATTATCATCACAGGGGGTTGTTCCTGATCACACAAGTCCTTGATTAAATAGATGCTTCCTAGCCCATGGCTTTTTTTGCTACCTCTTCAAGTGCTGAGGAGCCATTTCTTTTTCGCTTCTTTCCCAGGGAGCTTTTGGTACTTGTGGATGATTAAGACCTCTTGTAGCAGTTTTTCTCTTTTGGTCGAGATGTTGCAGAAGTGTTAGCGAAACCACTGAGGCCACTTAAGGCACAGATTCACAAGTTCCCGGCAGGAACCTCCGCCTAGCTGGAATCCCCCATCTGTCACAGCTCCACAGATCCTCATGGGGGCTTTACATTTTATTCCTCATTTCAGACAAAATTAAAGAAAATAATTGCAAAGGTTGCTTTTAAGCAGTTTCTGCTTTCCCTGAGGCACCCACTAAACCATTAAATGTCTGTGTGTTGGTTTATTTTCCTCCAGATTGGCTTATTCTGGGATGAATTGTGTTTTTTATTTCTTGGATGTATTTCAAACATTTCTAGGGCACCTTGTGCTCTTTCCGTTCATTCCATGATGTTCATAATTGCTCCCAATCTAATATCTGTTGATTCAGATTAGCATGCCTTTTTACACATTTTTCCTCCTTTATCCAAATCATTAATGAAATTATTAAGGCAGTATCTAGTGTAATTCCCTGTAGACTCCCAGTAAACACCTCCAATCCTACTCAACAGATTGTCTTTTGTCCTTAAAGTTTGTTTATGTCCATTTAATCAGCTTTCAGTCCTCACAGGAACCTCTACATGAACCATTCTGAATTATTACTTCAGAATATGAGTCTGGCTTGAATCTGCATCAGATAATATTAAAAAAAAAAGAAAAAAAAGTATGTATATCCAGCTAATTAGCCTTTATTAGATAGTCATGTTAAAGGCAACCAGAAAAAGTTTCTTATAAAGCCTTTTCTGACTGTCAGAAGTTTGGCATCAAATGTTCATAGTCTTAGCTGAGAGGAGAAGACTGTGCAGTGATGCCATCCCTTCTCCATTTTTTGCCCCCATCTTTGTATGATATCTTTTGTTGCTTTTGCTTTAATGACTATTCCATACATGACTTCTGTTTTGTATTGTATAGTGTAGTCAGGAGTGTATCAGCGCTGAAAGATCGGGAGAAGGTGCTGTGCTTTGGAACGACCAACTTGCCCTTTCTAAAGTGGCCCATATAGATCAATGTTTTTTCATTTTGTTCTTTTTATTTATTTATATTTTTTCCATGGACATGCCCAATGACTAACAGTCACATCCTACTGACTGAGCTGAAAGGCTGCTGGGGTCTCAGTACTCCTGCAAGCTTGGCCTTTTTCTTCAGTTAACCAGATAAACATTTAGATGGTCAAATTTGGGAAGGGGGTGTGTGTGTGCATGTGTGAAATTAATTGTGGACATTATGCCTGTCAGGACCAGCATAAGTGTGACATGTTAGGAGGCCATAGGAGAAGAGGGGGCAGGAGGTCATGGAGAGACGACCAGACACACATTCCTCATCACGTCCACTGCCTTTGGGAACAGATTTTTTGGTTGTGTGTCATGCTGGTCTCAGCTCAGTTATTCTCCTGTATGTGATGAAGGCTTTTGGCTTTGAGACTTCCATCTTGATTTCTCATGGGTTGTATGTCTAATGACTAAAATACATGGGAGTATAGAAGTCATTCTGCTTCCAAAGCCCATTTGTTGCCTTTTTTTTTTTTTTTTGATAGCACATTGTATATGTGAGATACAGAAACCACTTGTAACAATAATACATGAGACTAACATAATAT